GTTGATGGCAGCAGCACAGCTGATATTTCTCTCCAGGATGGAGTCACAGCCAAACAGGAACAGACCAGATGAAGCTATTTAGTTTTGGAAAATAAATTTTTAGCTTCCTGAGAAATGTTTTAGCTGACATCATTTCCAAATCTCTGCTATACACATAATTAACATGATAACTATATCCTGACAGAGAAACTGTCCCAATTAGATAAACTGCTTGGAAAACATTAGAGGGAGATTTAAAAAAAAATGCATTAAAGTACTTTTCACAATTTACAAATTTGTACTTTGCCTTCACCTTTTTTTTTTTACTATTACGTGTCTTTGGATTTTAATTTAATTATTAATTATAAAGTAACTTTTTATTGAAGTTACATTATCATGGTAATGTCAAGCAAGCTAGACGAAAAGAGGCATCAGGTGGCAGCAGATTAGTAAATTAACACAGTGTAATGAGGAAATATGGCAGAGAAACGCATTTTAGATTTGAGCAAGGACACTGTCCAACCACCTCTGATGAGAGTCGCACCGGCAGCCCCAGCACCCACAACCCAACCTAGCGTGTAACCAGGGCCCCCTGCTAGGTGCCGTCACACACTTTCATATCCAGTTTAACAACCATCGTATTTTAAGAGTGTTAATCTGATCCTGTGTTCTTGGAGAACTATAATGTAGAACCGTTCAATAACGTTTGAACAGCATAATAATATTTCTTTCTTTCCTTTATTTCACCAGGAAAAGTCCCATTGAGATTAACAATCTCTTTTTCCTGGCCAAGACAGCGGCAAAATATTACATTACAGTTTACAATTACATCAATCTATAATTAGAAATTCATAAAACAGTTACAAACCATAGATCTCATTTCCAAACCTTTGAGCAATCGTTTAAAATGTCCGATTGGAATCAAATCCTTCAACTTCCAGTCTTTCTGAAGATTGCTCCATGCTGTGGGGGCAGAGTACTGAAAAGCTGTCTTTCCAGCTTCAGTGCGGACATTAGGTACAGACAGAAGCAAAGACTCTTGAACGTAGAGAATAGAGTCCAGCTGCTCTTGGTTGAATGTACTCACAGAGGTATGAGGGGAGCAGACGCAGAACACCCTTATAAATGATCCTATACCAGTGAGTGAGTCTACCAGTCTCTAATGCTGGCCAGCCCACACGTATGTAAAGTTCACAGTGGTGTGTGCGAGGCTTACAATTTGAGGCATGGTAAACTGAGTCTAACATTTTTAGAACTTGATCTGGGGCATTGATATAGATTGGGTCACCATAGTCCAGAATGGGTAAAAACGTTGCAGCTAGCAGTCTCTTTCCTTGTGGTTTGCATTAAAGGATTATAGAGTCACGTGACATAAACACAGTGACTCAGGTTCCAGCCAGCTGACCTAATCCACCTAGTTTTACTGTTATTGTTTAATGAAGTTTAATTAATGGCGCATATATTCACCTGAGAACTGATGATAGACCCTAGTTGCACTGAAGTGTATATGACAATAAAGTAGGGAATCTCAATCAATTTCTTTATTTTTATTTTATTTTAAATCGCCTTACAGGCTGATAGGTCAATTGTCCAAAATAAAAGAAAACATTTTTTACAGAACCTGTTTGAAATGACTTCCAGCGGCCCTGCATGTGCATTCCCTCAGGGCCAGTTATCCCACATTCAGTCAACAGAAACTATTATTATATTTGCAGTAGGGTTGAAACAACTAATCGGATTTGATTGTCAACTAATCTAGTTATTTATTCATCTGTAACTGGAGTATAGAGACTGTAAAACATGCCTTTAGCTGACAGAATGACCCACTTAGAGTTCCAGAAAGGTTAAAAAAAAACAATCCACTGGACTTTTTTTCCAAGTTTGAAGACGTTTCGCTTCCTATCCAGAAAGCTTTCTCAATTAAAAATGTCTGGAGTAGTCTAGAGTAGCCTAACAAAAGCCTAGTTATGGCTTAGAAAACATGCAAATTGAACCGAAACAGGTCCACTCCTCAGTATTGGGGACTCGTTAGGGTCATTATTGGCCTGGTTTACAGGAGTGATGTTTGACCACCTGCATAGCGATGAGGATATCTTTCATATCTTTTGTATCTCTGTTTCTTTTTTTTTCTTTGGGGGGGGGGGTCTCTGCTGCTTCTTTTTCTATGTCTGCTTCTGTCTCCTTGAACCCCAGTGGGCCTCAGCAGATGGCCGCTCACACTGAGCCTGGTTCTGCTGGAGGTTTGTAATCAGCTGGTTTTGTCATGATCTGCCCTGATAGCTGGTGTTAATTGTTCATGTCGTTCACCTGCTTTATTCTGCCCGGTCTCTAATCATCTCTCATCTCATCCACCTGTTGGTTCTGCTTTATATTCGGTCCAGCCCAGCTATCGAGGCCAGATCTTTGATTTCTGTTTCTCCTGTCTGTCGGTTTCCTTAGTTTTAGTTATTTCCTAGGTCATTTCATGTCCCCGTTTACAGTAGATTATTCTTGAGCCCTTGTCTTCTGGTGAGTTTATTCCCTAGCCAGTGATGAGAGCGTTTCAGCGTTTCCTTAGTGATTCTGATTTCCTGATTCCGATCTGTTCGCCTGAACCATCGTTGGACTCCTACTGGATTCTGCCTGTCTACATCAAAGCATCTGTCTGGGCATGCTTCTGGACCCGTCTGACTGGGAACCTGCCTTCACGCTGTAAGGATTCCTGGAAGCCTGGATCCCTCTGCTCTGTTCTGGGTTGGAACTTCTGATCGAGTGGAGGTTTCCTGTATTCCTGAACTGTTCCTGTCTGCTCTGTCTTCCGCTGACCTGGATCGGCTTCCTGCAAGTTCTCCAGGGCTGCAGCATCAGGGACACTCTGGGTGAATCACACCGCGTCTGGTTTGGCGCCTCTTAAAGGAGGATGGGTAAATAGTGAAACCAGGTAAGTGACTCGCTCATATCATCATCTCCTGTCAGATGATCGTGGTCACTAACCTGTGTTTCTCCCTCCAGAGTCAGTGATGGGTAGCGCCCCGCCCCTTCAGCTCCACAGTTTTGTTTCAGTTTTGTTTATTTTATCAGAAATGTTGAACTTTCCTACTGACTCCCTCACCTTGAATTCTACGTCCATCTGTCCTGTTTTATGACTGATTTTCCTTAGATGGAAAACTGAACCAATCAGACTGTATGATCTGGATGAATTGTCTCTGTTAAGTGACTTGAGATAATGTGTTGTGAATTGGCACTATAGAAATAAACTGAATTGAATTGAATAATTATTATTGTGAACCAACAGATCATATCGATCCTGTAAGATGGCTCCCGTCTCCACACTCTTCTCACCATTTGCTCTCCGACGTCAGTCAGTCTTCAATGAAAAGGCACAAAACTAGCATCGCTAAGAATAAAACAAACTTCATGGCACCGGGAAGTCTGAGTTAAACCTCCAGATGTATCGCTAGGCGTGTAATCCTGCTTCAAGGTAAAGGTCTTTGGGTAACTGTTCATCATACAGCCGTTACCGCTCGGTAATCAGCCCTGTTCTGCCTGGGCAGAGTGTGTTCCCCTTACTTACAACAATGGAAAGTAGTCAGAGTCAAAACAAATTACAGACACTTTGGTTAAACACTAACATGTTATAAAAAAACTTTTAGAAAAAATCTGGTTTTGGGAAGAAGGTATGTCGTGTTTACAAACGCCCTAATGCAGGGTAATTGTGAAAACTTTTATAGTGAGTTAATAGCATATGAAATAAGAGAAACCAAATTTTCTGACCACACCGGTTTAACTGGGACACCAGATTAAAAAGGAAGGTTTAACGTGATCAGGTTCCTTGTCCCTGCTAGAGAAAACCAGCCCACAGCATGATTGGGCCTCTATCATGTTCAGAGGTTCTAAGCCTTTTTTGCCATCTCGTTTTCTGCATGTCAGGCCATAAAAAAATATTTATCTCTCCTCCGACCAGCGCACCTGTTTTTGCGTGTTTGCTGTGCTCCCTTAATGGCTTGAGGGCCGTCTTCCAGCCCCCCCGCAGAGGTCTGATCTCCCGGTTCTGGACAAAGTTCTCCAGTGGGTCAGAATGACAGACTGACATTGAGGATTACGTGACTCATGAAAGCAGGCGATTCCTCTGGATTCATCAAGGTATCCTGGAGTAGAGCAAAAGATATGAACAATGTACTATTTAAAAAAAAATATGCATATATTGCTTCTTACGTATGTTTTTTGTGTAGAATCCTAATAAAATATGCCGAGGGTTTTGGTTGCAGTGTGATCGTATGTAAAAGGTGGGATATTGCAGGGCTGTTTGTGCTGAGCCGGCCGGTTTGCTGAATCCTCTTGGCTCGCTGAGCGTCTGCCCACCCTCAGTGCTCGCTGGCAGCCCAGCTGGACGCGCAGGGCAGCCTGTGCCAACACAGCTGCCTATTGAGAGGCGGCGTTACGGACACAATGTGAGCCACAGACTTGCTGTATCAACAGCTCCCCCTTTTCTGCTGCTGTGGTCAGAAATAAACCATAAATACCCCCCCTCCTCCCCTCTGCCCTCTAATGCCTCGACCCCATCAAACGCCAAGTGGCACCAAGTAAGAGGGACGCTACCACTTCCTCGTAGGCATACCCAGGTAAACAATAGCTGAGTTCTGGACCCTAAGGGATCAATAACCATGGCTTATGAACTCCTGGGATTAGATGGTGGAGATACAGTTTGGACCGTCTGTCATGGAGACTTCGGAATAATCTGCTAGAGGAGGAAAAAATGATAACTGCAGCCCTGACCTGAGTCCTCTCTGCTTCTCTCTGTGGTTGCATGCTTGTTCACCATGGATCTTGCTTTGTGTCCCATAAAGTGGAGGATCAGCGAACCAGGAGGATGTCGGACCAGCAGAACGCCACAGATCAGCTGGCTGCCGGGAAGAGCCAGGGTGGAGCTGGAGTCGCATATAAGGTACTGTAGCTGGAAACCTAGTTGGTCCAAACCAGGGCTGACCTTTGCTTTCAGTTCTATGAAGTGTTGACATCTGCCAGTGTTTCTGTCCAGGTGGTCGTGTTTGAGTTTGAGAACTTCCAGGGCTGCAAGGCGGAGTTTTCTGCAGAGTGCAAAGACGTAACAGAGAAAGGACCGGAGAAGGTCGGCTCTGTGATCGTGGACTCAGGGCCGTGAGTAATGCTCTTTTAGTGCCCTGGAAAGATGTGACATGGATAATGATAAAGTTAATCCCCCCAAATGGTCTTTCAGCTGGGTGGGTTATGACGGGCATGGCTTCAAAGGAGAGCAGTTCATTCTGGAGAAAGGAGAGTATCCACGCTGGGACACCTGGACCAACAGTCAGCGCAGCTTCTCCATGCTGTCCTTGAGGCCCCTGAAGGTGGTGAGTGACTCGTCAAGGTCTGGTCCTCCCACAGCCGGACCACAGATCATCAACCGGACCCTGATTCCTGCTTCTTCCCGTTCAGGATGGTGTCGAACACAAGCTGCACCTCTACGAGAACCCTGGCTTCACCGGCAGGAAGATGGAGATTGTGGATGACGACGTGCCGAGCCTGTGGGCCCACGGCTTCCAGGACCGGGTGGCCAGCGTCAAGGCTCTGAACGGAACGTAGGTTTTCCCTCTTCCATTCCAGTACATACATTTATACCTTACAAAATCACACACACTCCCCCCAGAGCAGGAGTCACCAACCTTTTTAAGGCTGAGGGCTACTTCATGGCTACCGAGTCATAGGAAGGGCTACCAATACTGACCTATGAACTGGAGGGATCAGCATTCACCTACAGAAAATCTCATCCATTAAAACTCATTTTTATTCTTATTTTATTCTTTTATTCATTTCTAATTTTCTTTTTAATATTGTCATTTTGAAACCACTGAAATATGACTAAATAGTCAACATGATGAAATAATACATCAATGATTAAAAAGAAGAGCAACAGAATAAAAAAAATTAAACTTAACCCACTGAGTGAGTTCTTCTGTTTTCAGAAGATGAAGAGGGCCCCATGTGGTCCTTGGGGGCCACCGCGTTGGTGACTCCTGCCCCAGAGGAACCAACCCACCCTCTGCATGAGGAAACTTTCTCACACTTGAACATTTGGTTATTCCCAAGAGAAAACACTTCAATTAATCAAGGACATAGATTATGGGCAGATAAACACCCGGAACCGGTCCCTCGTTCACGGCATGAAGGAGGCTGTGAACCTTCATCCTTGTCTAGAGTCTGCATCTGCTTTCTGCCCCCCCTACCTTAAACATTACAGGATAGAGGCTGGAACTAGATTTCTCTGAACTCACTCCTATTTAGGCAGGCAAACTCTAAACATTTTACAATTAGGCCAAGGAAAAATCTGCTTTCACTCTGATCCTGACCTTCAGCAAAATAAATGAGAAGTTAGCAGTTTAGTTAAAATGGGCAATCATGGCCGCCTTTCCAAGTTCAGTTTGGGGCTCCTTAAAACTCCAGGGGCCGATCCTGACTCTCATTCTCCTTTCTCTTCCAGGTGGGTGGGCTACATGTACCCAGGCTACAGGGGCCAACAATACATTTTTGAGCGAGGGGATTTCAAGCACTGGAACGACTGGGAGGCCCCCTCTCCCCGGATCCAGTCTGTCCGACGGGTGCGGGACATGCAGTGGCACAAGAAAGGGTGTTTCATCCATCCTGCCCCGGCCCCCGTCCCAGACCCCGATCCGGCCCCAGCACCGGCTCCTCCTGCCCCCCCTGCAACAGCCAGGGCCAGCTGAGCGTCCCCCTCCCTCATCAACCCAAACATGACAAACGCTGTTGTTGCCCGGCGACGAGTGCCATGTGCGTTTTAGTGGCCAATAAAGGTTGTTTGACCTGGAATCTGTCATGTTATAATTGTGTTTAAAGTTAAACATCTCTTTAGATTTGCAAAAAATCCTGAACAGAAATGTTAAACCGACTATTTAAGAAGGAGAACATAAATTTGACTCTTTTTTTTCTTTTGTCTATGATATAAAAGGCAGTTATCTTGTGACTATATTCGCTGCTACTTTGGATAAACGTTTTCCTACGTTAGTCTCCAGGATCAGATCTAGTCTGCTCAACAGAACCGATGTCATTCTGTATGAAGGCCTGATATTAAAATATAGAGTGAACCAAATCCCTGCCATACGGTCCTCTTTGTTCATCTAGAGACACTCAGTCTGAACCAGATGTTTACAGAGGTAAACTGAGATTACTGAGCCTTTAGCCTGATGAGTCTACATATTGACATTTAATTTGAACAGAGGGATTCCTTTGGTGACATCATTCAAGATCCATAAAAATAATCCAATTTAGAAAACCGTGGACCTCTAAATGTTTGGTTCAGGTTCCAAGACAAGACAAGACAAGTTTATTTGTAAAGCATAATTCAGAAGAAGGACAATTCAAAGTGCTTTATATTAATTTTAACAATACAATAGAAGAAAACTTAAGATGAAAACATTATAAAAGCAGGTAAACAAATAAAAGTGTTGGACCACAGCCTAAAACCAGTGATACCTCAGTTAGTAGTTTAACTGCAACTTTCAAAGGCAGCTTTAAATAACTGACTTCAAAGAACTCAGGCTTTCAGCTCTTTTCCAGTCATCTGGGAGTTTGTTCCAGATCCGTGGAGCATAGATGCTGCTTCTCCATGTTTAATTCTAGTTCTGGGTGGAGTAGATCCACTGAAAACAGATCCGTTTTGGATCGAGGTGCTGATCTATTCAGTGATTTCTAGACTAACAGATTTTAAAATCTATTCCAGGAATTTAGTGGCACTGATGTGCTCTACTTTCTTAGTTCTAGTGAGAACACAGGCAGCAGAGCTTTGGATCAGCTGCAGCTGTCTTATGCACTTTTTAGGCAAACCTATGAAGACACAGCTGCAGTGATCAATTCTACTAAAGGTAAATGCATGAATGAGTTTTTCTAGATCCTTCTTGGACATTAGTCTTTCCATCCTGGAAATAAAAGGGTAACTTAAGCTGGGCATACACACTGCACAATATTTTCAATCGTTGTACCTAGCGACAGCTCGAACTGTACGATGAAAGCACACTGGAAGAAGAAGAACTCCCTTGTTTGCAGATGCGCAATGCGTGAGGTTCTGGTTAATCGGCTCGTAGCTCTGCTTCAACAGCGAGATTTGCCTCAGAACACCTCAAAAAGGACGACTGAATTTCAAAGATGTTTGATTTTCTCCCGACCTTACGAATCCTGATCGGAAGGTGGTCCTGAGAGGCTCGTTACCCCCTAAATAAAGCATAAAGCATACAGAAAGATGCAGGAACAAGGGCTGCAATGGAAAGACATACATGAGGTGCACCAAATGCAAGATGTTCCTCTGCATAACCAAAGAGAAAAGATGCTTCCAGGATTATCACAGCTAAAATATCCAGGGGAAGATGAAATGCAGAACTGCTTAGTTCTAAGTTTCATAGTTTATTGTTGAACTAAATAGATGTATTTTTGCTGTTGCAAGCAACAAACAAAAGAAGAATGTTACAGAATTATATTTGTTTTTATCAAATTTCTAAGTTCTTAGGCAAATATAACTTTCAAGACATAATCTTTTATCATTTTTTTATTTTCTCGAGCCTGTTCTATTTTCCTAAGCAAATTGTCCTGTTGTCCTCCACAGTTGACATGCAATAAAATTTAAATTAAAAATATATTTTAAAAAATTTTAATTGTAATTAGTTTTTTTTTAGGTCCAAATACATGGTAAATCACAAAAAAAAAGAAATTGTAAAACACTTTTTTCTTCGGTTGCAGGAGGATATACTGACAATGCAGGATTTATAATGTGGTTAAAACTTGGAATGATCCAAAAAATTCTCACAAGACTGGAAAATCAGCCCCAAAAAACTAAATGTTTGTTTATGTCTGGCTTTAGTAACTA